AAGGTAAATTAAACCCTAACGAAGGTAAATTAAGAATACTTTCAGATTTAAAGATGTGGAGGTTGCCGGAATCGGGTGAGTAGCGTCGTCGTCATCTGTTCGAACAGAGATGGTGAGATAAAGCAGAACCGGAACATAGATGAAGGTAACTTACTCCAGAGTCAAGAATGATAAAGCTGGAGGGAAGGAAAGTTACACCACCTTCGTGAAGATGGAACTGGGTTGTGCCAATTTCAGCGCGAGAGATTGGCAATAGAAAAAACAAAATGCGCGTATCCCAAATATCGTTTCCGTCGTCGTTCTCTCGCTAAACGGGTACCAGATGGCACAATTTTTATCCCTCGTTGAACCCTAGCTAAGCGCCTTCATTTTTCGAGTGATTAGCGAGGAATAGTGGTGCATCGGTAAATACTTGTGAGATCCGTAGTTGATCCCTCGGTAAATCCTCACTAATATTCCATATGTTAAATAAATAAAATAATTATCAAAAACATGGTAGATCTGTCGTATTTCCCTAGCTATAAGTCTAAATTTTGCTAGAGAATAAATCCGTAGCAAAATCCGTAGCTGAAACTCAAGTTTCTAGTAGTGCAACAATGAAGCTGTTGAAAGATCACTTCAAAGAAGAGAAAACATGATTAGCAATTTAAAAAGTAGTTACAATTTGCTCAAAACAGAATGAAGGTTTTAGCCGACTAGAAAAGATCTGAGAGACAGTTTCAAGAGGGCGATTGGGTATTGCTTAAATTGCAAATTTACAGGCAAAATTCGGTGCAATCTCGGAGCAATCTTAAGACAAGTGCTAAGTATTTTGGACCCATCCAAGTTCTGTCAAAAATCGGGAAAGTCGCATATAGATTACAACTACGTGAATCTGCAAAAAATGCATAATGTGTTTCATGTGTCTCAACTGAAAACATTTAAAGGAAGTTTACCTGACCTTCCTCATATTCCAGCATGGTGGAAAGGACAAAATACAGATATCGATATCAAGCCAAGTAAAATTCTCGATAGACGAATTGTGAAAAGACAAAACAAGGCAGTTGTACAATACCTTATACAGTAGAATGATTTCCCTCTGAGTGAAGCATCTTGGGAATTTGCAGATCATATAAAAAAATAAATTTCCTGATTTTTTTTCTTGCATCTGTATGACTTGTAGGCAAGTCATGTTTTAGGGGGGAAAGTATGATACATGGCTAGTTGTTATAAAGTTAGTTACAAGAGGGGCATAAATGTAAATGTCAATATAGATGAAAGTTTTTAGTAACATTTTGAGGGTATAAATAGAATGTACAATTGCATGAAAATGGTTATCGATTCAATAAAAATTTTCCCCACACTACTAGAAAACAGCCCTTTAATGACGCGCAACAATGACACGCGCTGATAGAGGACACGCATTTGTGCGTGCCCTAAAAAATAATGTCAGGTTTGCAAAATTTGAAGGATAGAGGACACGCATTTTTGCGTGCCCTCAAATTAATGTCCAAAAAAATACAAACACGGAAGACGCTTATCTTAAATGTGTGTCATCTACAAGTGCCGCTTTATAATTTTTTACTGGAACGCACGTTTTTAAAGGGGGAAATGAAATCCTCTCAAATTCTAAAATTTTGAACTACCCCGCTTCACTCTCTTCTATGTATCTCCCTTCCTTCTCTCTGTGAACCCTAAGCCATCGCCACCACCATTGAACCCTAAGTCTTGCCTTTTACGCTTTCACATCTTTCCTTCCCTAATCTTCACATCTTTCCTTCCCTAATCGCCTGTATTTAATTCACTATTTGGGCATTTTGGTAAGAGCGTAACGATTTCACTATGCCCTTGCTCACTTCTCCTCATTGACGATCTCATGCTCACCTGACATCAAATTCCTTTGTTTCCGTCTTTTGCAGAAAACCCAAATACACGCTCACCCCGTTTTCGATGCTCAGAAGAGAAAAAGGGAAAGCGCCTTGGTCCTTTTTGCACACACTTTCGGGTACTATCAACCCACCATTACTTTCTCTCCCCCTCTACTCATCATCTGAGGTGATTGAATGGAAGCAAATATTGGACGCCGGCGTCTAATGTGCTTTCGCTCAAGGTTGTTGGAATTACAAAAGTTGGGGTGGTTTTGATTTGTTGTCGGCTGTCACTTTGTGGGTTTGTCTAATGTGCTTATCAGAACGCTTCACTAACATATTGTTAAATATATCAAACTCAGTTAAGTCTTTTTATTGTATAGCTACAAGAACATGCATTTGGTGTGCTTGTCAGTTGTTTTTGGCGATTAAACTGCAATATGCTTCCATAACATGATTATATATATATATATATATATATATATATATATATATATATATATATATATATATATATATATATATATATATTGATATTCTGTAAGATGCTAACTAATGAAATGATGCATAACTGGTTTATTTAGAATATCTGTCCATGGAAGTTGCACAGGCGAATTGCAGAGACTTGTGCTCTCTTCACTGGTGTTGTTTCTGGAACTAGGTGCTCAAGTCATGCACAAAGCATGTCATCTAAAATAGATATAAAGACTTTATGAATGGTGAATTAAATGGTGATTAGCATTTCATTGCATTGTGTTTGCCATTTGTGTTCATACTTTCACATATGCCACCAAAAAAAACATAAGGATGCTTGCCCTGTTTGTTTTTCCCACAAAAGGTTCTCTAGAGATGTTTAAAATATTTGAGAAAATGATGTAGGCAGAAGCTGCTGCTGCTGCTGGTGAAAGTAGTTTAAGATCTTTCATGGTTGTTGTACAGCGTTGTGGAAGCCGTGTGGCTATTGTTCAACAAGTATGTTACTTTGGGTTTTCATTAATTTGTTTCTTATACTTATATATAGCATCATAATTTCATTTCTTCCTATTACACCAAAAAATCTACCCACTGCCACTTATAGCAATGTCATTCAAATACAAATAATTTTTTTGTCATTTACCCTTCATAGACTGAGCTACTAGCATATCATAAATCATAAATAATGCATAATTTAGTCTAATTTATTTGTATTGTGGTGCCTAAATGTTAATGTCTGATTTCATTGTGTGTAATATTTTTCATATTATGTGATCCCACATCTGCAGGCTCTTACTGCTTAATATTGGGAAGTGTTGACTCATATGGACATCTCATTGTTTCCATATTGGGTACTGATGGTAAAGGTACCATTGTTTTTTGTTCTTTTTTATATTTTTTCTATTGAATTGTTTAATTTCTATTTAAATCTTGAGATTGCCAATATTCATTTCCACCATCTTTTTCTTTTCTTTTTCAGTTCGAGTAAACATTAATTATTGGTCTTTCCAAATCAATAATCTATTGTATAATCAATATTCAAGTCAATAAATTTATCTAATTTTTCTTATACATTTTCACCTTAGGATTTTGGAGTTGGAGAAGGTGGGTGGGCAGGGCTTTGCTTTAGTCCAAGTCAATGGTCAACAGTACATGTTTAATCAGTCAAAGCTATTTTCATAGTCCAATCTTTTACTTGTTTATATAACGCGCTACATAGTATAGTAAAAAACATTAACTTTGTTACATTTAATGGTTGAATATTAAACTTGATAAATACTTTATATTTTAATGGAACCCGGAACACCACATGGATCAAATATCATATCTCAAGTGCGGTCCCACATTCTTTGAATGGAGAAAAGGGTAATTTCGTCTTTACAACTAACATTCCATGTTTGATTCTTCTAATAATTATATTAGCATATTAATTTTTTGACTATTATTTGATCAGGTCACAAGAGTTATCGGAGCAGGGGTTCATTAGTCTTAAAGAATTATGAAAGGAAAGATGCAACTCTACTTAGTTGGAATTTGATGTTTATCATCTTTGTGTATATCTTTTTAGTTTGTATAACATTACATTGCAGAAGGTGTCCCTTAATAGCAATGTAGTATTAGGTTTTATAGTTAGGGAAAACCTCTTAATAACAATGTACAATTAGATCTCCTTAATCTCAATGTATTACAATTTTTTGACATGATGTTATTGGATGAAATTGATTGTTTTGGTATATATTTGTTTACATATTTTTGTATTATGCGTAAATGAATATCATAAAGACGCGTCATAAAAGCATATCGAAAATGGTTACTGAAGTTTATGACACGCAAATGCGTGTCATCTTCACTTATGACAGGGGCTTCCTTGATACGCATTGCGTGTCATAAACACGCGCGTCGTAAGGTTATGACACGCAAATGCGCGTCGTCTTCCTTTATGACAGGGCCTTCCCTGATACGCATTGCGTGTCATAACTATGCGTCATAAATGTGTGTCATAAATGCACGACGCGCAAAAGCGTGTCGCCTCTTGTTATGACAGGGCCTTCCTTGACACGCATTTGCGCGTCGTAAAAGGCTGTTTTTCTAGTAGTGGGCCAAATATTTACCTCTTCTCTCTCTCTCTCTCTCTCTCTATATATATATATATATATATATATATATATATATATATATATATATATATATATATCAAATGATTCTCGTGTAGTATCTCAAAGCTCCGATTCTTCATAAAAACATGGTAGCTTCCTGCGTCCTACATCACCAAGTCGTGTAATTCCATGAGATAAACATTGGAAAACTATATTTTAAATAGAATTTAAATCAATCACAACAGACATCCATATATATTTTAAGGGTTTTGTCTACCTCTTTAAAATTGAACTCTGATATGAAAAAGTGAACAATCGTAAAAGAAGCTACCAACTCTAGCAAAAGCACCCTTGAAACAGAGAAAACCACAAACATAGAAGTAGAAGAAGGGGAAAGTGAGAGGGGGGGAATGGGAAACAGGGAGTGGAGACAGATGGAAATGTCGTTTTCCAAGACCTTTGTTCATAGAAACAAGATCATTTGATTATAATAACTCAAATGAGAACATCGAGAGCATGAACTACGAATCGCTAATACTCTACAGTATATGGGTGGGTATTGGGTTTGCTAGATGTTGCTGTCCTAAGGTTGCCATAATATCCGGATAAAAGAGTATAAATCATGTTGGATCGTAAATGCCTTTCGTGTGAGTTCATCATTCCAGTATTCTGAGGAATCTGTTGCAACTTTTGTTGTTTGCAGCGGATCATCTTCACTTATTCTAGGAACAAGCTCAGCAGCAAACGAAGTCCAATCATCCTTTATGGAAAATGAAATAATATTGTATGATGAATTCAATGATGTGGTCTGCCTCAATGAACTAAACGAAACATATCCCACATATTATGTGGACACACCATCATAATATTCAGGCTCCGCTGTTTCATTAGACTCCTTAAAAATATGAAATACAGAATCTTTTTCATATACCTCATGCATGAAGATTATATTTATATCTGGATGCTTTCTGATGGTAACAATGCGTATTAAGAACCCACAAAAGTCATTATACCAATCATCTGGAAGATGCAATGTAAAGGTGTGCCCACTGTCATCGGTATCATGGGGATGACATGGTGTAAATGAGAACCCCCTAGAGAACCTACCTACAAACCCCTTCGGAATCTGATGATGAAGAGCAACAGTGATAAAGTGATCTTCAATAGCATTTCCCTGCCATGGAAAATATATTCAGTTATGATTCTTATGTTTAGGCTCTTTATAATAAAGATTTGAAATTTAAACGGTACGAACAGCCAAACCTGCAGCACCGAGTCAAGTAATATATCACCACCACCAAGTTTGTCACACCAAAGAAGTGAGAGTTTCCACAACCATTTACAGTTTGAAATATCTCCAAAGCTTTCAAGTGACCAACAACCATCTGCTAAGACAACAGCTATACTTGATGGGAGCTCTGACAGTTCTACAAGTTCTATGCAGCTTGACACATTGAGCCATTTGAGCCGAGGAAGTCGAAAAACACTAAAATTTAATCGTGAGAACTTATTTCCTTTCAGATTGAGTTCTTGCAAATTGGGCAACTCCCAAACATCAGAACCTGTTGCTTCATCTGCCAAACCACACCAACTGAGATCCAACTTTCTTAAGACAAGCTGTTGCAAGTTGTGAGAAAGCCATAACCCTATGAGAGGTAAACAAGGATCATGTAAACAACCTTCTTCCACATCAATCAGGTCCACTCCTGGTATATTACCTTGTGTGTTATCCAAATCAAAGTGTCGTGAATGGTCTATGTTCTGTTGGATCTCTGAGAACTTCAAAAGTTGAGGGCACCATAATAATGAAAGGATCTTGAGGTTCTTTAGTTGGGTAATGGGTGGTAACACCTTAAGACCATAACAATATTCTATAGATAAGAAAACAAGTTTTTCCAAGCATCCAATCGATGCATGAATCTCTTCTAAATTCAGACAAAATTCAAGAATCAATCTTTAAAGATTCGGAAGTCCATCAAAATCTGGTGTCATGATTAGCTTTGATAAACAAGAAAGTTTCATTATCTTCAAATTTGGCAGCAACTGTTATATACACGTCAAAAATGTACAATGGTGTTAAACCTTTTATACAAAAATCAGGATATATCATATATATAAATAGTAAATACCAAGGACTACTGGATTACAACAACTAAGTTGCTTACTGACACCAACAACATGTTACATAACTATGTGTTCTTATCCATATAACTACTTAAAATTCTCTCTCTAGATTAGTCAGGTCTATAATTCATCATCAACATTGTTTTCATTTGATAACTAGATAAACAATAAGAATTACCTTACTACCCTCCCAAAGTTGTCTTTGAAGGTTGTAACCCAATAACAGACAACGAAGCTTCCTTAATGAAAAGTTAGTAGGCAATGGACTCGCAATATCACCTTTCCAATCAATCCACCTAAGGTTCTTCATCTTTGCAACAATCTGAGGAAGGTGACGTAATCCATCAGCCTAATTGTTTTCAATTCTTATTGCTTCAATTGGACCAAGTTCCTGTGATAGAGGAACAAGATGGTATATATATATATATATATATATATATATATATATATATATAGAGAGAGAGAGAGAGAGAGAGTCAGGTTCTTTTGAGAAACAAAAGATTTGTAAGAACTTGCGAACTCATAATCAACTCATCATTTTTCCACACTAAAAACACCAATCTTCTCCGAACAGTGCGTCTAAGCCATATATATATATATATATATATAATATATATATATATATATATATATATATATATATATATATATATAGAGAGAGAGAGAGAGAGAGAGAGAGAGAGCCAGGTTCTTTTGAGAAACAAAAGATTTGTAAGAACTTGCGAACTCATAATCAACTCATTATTTTTCCACACTAAAAACACCAATCTTCTCCGAACAGTGCGTCTAAGCCATATCTAGGCTCAAAAAAAGATTTGACGATTTTTTTTGTATGACTGCTGATGAGCACAATTAGCAGTCTGTACAACTGTTGATTGTGCATACATGCAAATTTCGAAAATAAATAAAATAAATTGTCATTTTTTTAGCCTAGATATGTCTTAGAAGCACCATTTGGAGAAGATTGGTGTTTTTGGTGTTGAAAAATGATGAGTTGATTATGAGTTCACAAGCTTACACATTTTTTTAGTTCTTACAATAACTCAACTCTATATATATATATATATATATATATATATATATATATATATATATATATATATATATATATATATATATATATATAGAGAGAGAGAGAGAGAGAGGTAAGTTATATTGAGAACACATAAAAGGTTGAGAACACGAGAACAGTCCATTTTTGTTAATTTTTCAAAATTATGTCCTTAAAGTGTAAAAGGTTAAAATACGTTTATTCCCTTAATTTATGCAATATTAAATTAGGGTATTTCTTATTTATGCAATATTAAATTAGGGTATCTGTTACTTTTAATTAGACTGATAACACATATCCCAATTAATGGTACCTACCTTCTTCATCCCCAAAATATCCGTCTTACCTCCTTCATCCGTATTATTCCCTTCTACTTTCATAAGTTACAGTACAGTTTCAAGGACATAATTTTCTTTGATTCTCCGATGATTTGCAAGAATCTTTAAGTTGGAATTGGGGGATCCATCTACATCAGTTTACTTCACATTACCTATCAATAATCCCGTGTTTTTTGCGATTCGATGATATGCGACACGATGTGAAGCTTGAACATTGGGATTCTTCAAGATTACTTGCGTATTGTCGTTGAAGATCGTCGATATAAAAGTTTATGGAGGTCGAATTTGAAGGAGTGTATGCAGTCGGGAATCGCACAAGAGGTAAGTTCCTTTCACGTTCAATGTTTACATTTTCTTTTTCTTTTTTAATCATGTAGCTCAATTTTGTATACTTTCTATACAATTTTTTATATGAGTTTGCAATGTATGCTTTTGATTTTGTCAAACGGTTCATGGAAGATTATGACCTATTTTCTCCTCTATATGTTCACTGTTAGCCTTTTTTTTTAATCAAATTAATCGATTTGCAAAAGCATGAATGATGTTACTGGCATGAAATTGTTGTTAAATTCAACTACAACTCATCAATTCAGATGAGTTTAGAATGCAGATGGTTTGATTAGGTAAATATTGCCACGGGTCTTATTAGCCCTTATCCCACACTTATGTGTTACCTGCTAAAGTGCTTGAATTATATTGATTAACCATAGATTCCATTTACATGTAGGTTATTTTTGTTTTATTAAAATGTTTCAATTTGCATTATGTTAATTTGTGTAGTTAACAGTAAGATTAGCCTTATGTCTTTGTTATCATGTATGCTATTATTTGCCCTAATATCATGCTTATGTGTTACATGTTAAATCGTTTTCCCTACATTTATTCACCCTAGATTCCATATAATTCTATGTTATTTCTGTTTTATTCATATGTGTCAATTTGCATTATGTTTGTTGGGGTAGTTAACAGTAAGATTAGACTTATAATTTTGTTATCATGTATGAACTACAATAGGACGCATGAAGAGTGAGCGTATCAAAAACACATACTCACTAATGAAATACAAGAATGATCCCTCAAACCCAATAATAATAGATATCGATGTAGATGCATCTGATTCTATCAGGATTACCCCCATACCAACCATTGCTAAAGCTGGAGTTATGACTCAAAGGTCAAAATCCAAACCTGTTTCAACTGTCAAACCAATTCACAAAGAAGGTTTTTTTTTAAAATTAGTTATCACACTAAAAAGCGTATTCTTCATGTTTTTTGATTATGCCTCACTATCAATACAAGGTCAACATTCCAGACGTAGTGTTTCTGTTCAAGTGCTTTATGAAAATCGTTCAAAGCAGAAATTTGATCCAGATTCCAATTCCCATTCACCCGTGCATGGTTACACAAAATCAGGTAGCTCATTAACTCTGTCTTTTTTAAATTGCTAGTATAATTCATTCATCTTATTTACTGTTGTTTGACTGTTGTATTGTATTTTCCACCAAAAAAGACACAGATATTAGAAAAATGTTGTTTACGTCTAAAGAGAAATAGCAGCCATCACATGATGAATCAGATTTTGAAGACCCAAACCCATTCATCAACCAAAATAAGAGGAAATCATCTCCACTTGTAACATACAAAGTTGTGCAACATCAGGAAAAGAAAGCTAGAGCAGATGTGGCCAACCCTCAAGCATTTAAGGCAAAAGTTAAAGTCAAGAAACTGGAGAACAGAAAATCAAAGAAGGGAGTTCCTGTGGGTATTCCAACACAACCAAGGCGAATACATATTCGTACGTCACCAAAAATATTATTCTCCACAATGCACGGTCTGACGAATGGACAGAAGGAGTATTTATCATCCATTGGATTTGGTCCCCTTTTAAATATAAAAGTAGATGGGTCGGCATCACGAATTGGGTACTATGCGGTCAACAACTTTGACCCTGAACGCATGGTACTGAATGTCGAGCGGGGTGAGATACCAATCACTAGGCAATTGATACATGACATGTTGGGTCTCCCTCTGGGAAATATCAATATCAATTCACTAAAGTTCAGACCCGCTGAAGACAAAACTGTTGATTTGTGGTCTGCACAGTTCAAGTCAGAAAATGATATTAGGCCCAAAGGCGTACAAACGGCGATTTAGAGATTAAAAGATGTTGGGTTATTGTTTAAAGTCAATTTTTTGGTTCTCATTTGTAACACCCTTGGACAATCCAAGAGCATGGGCACATGTGATGTATCAATGCTTTCAAGGGTTTCAGAGGATTTAGATTTAAGCGACATAGATTGGTGTTCATACGTGTTAGAGTGTTTGAAAAATACAAAACATGCATGGAATTCTATGAGCGATACATCTTACTATGTTGGACATATTGTCCTATTGACGGTACCTATCCTACAACCTAACTTACTACATTAATTCTACTTATTTATTATTGTCTTAGTCATTTATGATTACAATATTACATCCTTAATGACTTATTGACAACTCCTTGATCACTAACGATTTAATCATCTTTTTTTTAACATATAAGCTTATATACCTGGAGCATGTTTCATGTGATGCGGTTACGATTGATTGTGGAAGACCTGCTATATGTTTCTGCGATGTGGAGACCATGCACTTACATGAGGAGTATGAAATCAGAAATGGTGGAATTGGTTCTGGTGAACTTCAGGATCCTTACATACCACACGATGACAATGCCGAAAATGTCAACTCGGCGAATGGATCAGTTGAGGTTAGAAAATTTCCGCATCATTTTTTCATATTTACCACATATTACTAATCACTCATAATGTTTTCAGGAATACCTTTCCACCATTGAAAGTATGTTCAACAAGCTAGTTGAGGATAATCATTTGTTGCACTCAAAACTTGTAGACGCAATCGAAAGGCATCCTCCGGTTTGTGATTTCTACGAATGGCAAGTTAAGCTCAGAATTTTCCTTAATGAAGAATCCATGAAATATGGAGGTGGCAGTTCTACTCATGCAGACAGTGTCGGGCCTTTATCCCAATGGTGGTTAGACAACGCAGAACAAATTACCAGGTCCTGTCAAATGGCAGAAAATTCTGTTAAATCGTTCCACAATTCACCCTTTCCAAACTGGAGCATCGGGATGACACAGGAGTTTGCTGATATCATTAGCAATTCACCACTGAAAGATATCATGAAAACTCCAAAAGACCAATGTCCAAGTCCTCTTCCATTATCAATTGTTCCTATTCACAGTGATTACGGTGTTGTCCGTGCAAGAGAGTTAAGGCCAAGAAATAAGCCCCTTAAACTACGTTCCCCGTTCATTGTACGGGCAGTTGACATAACTAAACGTATATCACGTGCTCAGAAGGACCTATCTAAATGGGTTTTCTCAACACAAGGTCATCCAAGGTATATACAAATTTATACATAACGGATAGAACAAATTTTTTTTTTTACAAAGATTATTTAAGTTTTCACATGTTATTCTATGCAGTGACGAACTTTTCCGGACTTGTGCTGGTGTAGCTGCTGAACGCTTTCACATGGAAAGCTTTTTCCCCAAATGTGAACTTTTTGGACACGTACTAGATTGCTGGAGCCATCTGTTAAATTTCGATGAAGACTTGCGTTCCAATTTATTTCCTCATAGACTATTCGCCACTACCACGTTAACGGTACAATATTAATAATCATTAGCATTCATTAACAATGTCATAATATAATCTTCTAAGTTTTGCACATACATGACTTCCACATTCTCACATTACACCTTCAATTTCATCTTCATATTACACTACTCACAAACATTGTTAACTACCGCTGTAATTACATCATTTATTTTATTCACAGAGTTTGTATCTCGAAAATACTGTGTTGACAGAGGAAGATCGTCTGAAATTTTTTTATGAAAATTTGAGCCTATCCATTGACGATTTTGATGCAACACTCCGCGATGTGCAATTAGTATGCTTATATACCCACATTTCATATAAGCAGATTGTTTTTTATTATTTATTAGATCTTGATGTAAGCTTTAGTGAGTGCATTCACAATACCAACACTTAATTATTTTAAATCATATTCTTGGTATTTGTTTCAGCTATTCCTGCCAGTCGTCCGTGATTTTCATATTTTCCTTGTCGTACTCGACTTTCAACAACCAGCCTTTTGGATCATTGACAACATCAAAAGAGATGACGACACCCAACACACATATGGTCTTCTACCAGATATCATTGTAATATACTAATACAGATTGCCATTTTTTATATATATAAATCAATTATTTTTAACATACAATCCTATATCATTTCGAGCATTCATACATGACTCAATACTTGCGGTCTGTTCACCATCCAAACGCTAAAGCCTTTTCACATGTCCCACGACAAATACCCCAACTAACTTGGTCAACAGTAAACAATACCACTGACTGTGGTATTTTTACTATGCGTCACATGGAGACGTTCATGGGTGGAAACATTAGAGATTTCAAAACTGGATTCAAGTCAGAGTCGCTTGCACAGGACAATCAATTATCTAGACTACGGGTCATCTATCTTTGCAAAATATTAAATTCAGACTACAACCTGCTGAAGGATTCAATCCTTCATCAGGTAGCAGAATTCCAAAAGCTGACTGCATCTAATCGAAATCAACTATTGAAGGATGTTGCAACCAGGATACATGCCAGGCTGATCGAATTTGGTTAAAGAATGTTGGGTTAATAAGACTTTTTTGTTTACCTTCTGGAAAGAATAATATGCTATTTACTTTTACTCTATTATGTAGATGGCTCAATGCAGCAAACATGTCACTATTTTGTTTTTTGATTATGTACCTCCCTATTGTCTACATATTATATTAAAATGTAGTTTCTAAATCTTACATGAATGTCTCTTGTGGTTATTGTTAATCGAAACTGTTAATCTTACATGAATGTCTCTTATGGTTATTGTTAATCTTACATGAATGTCTCTTGTGGTTATTGTTAATCGAAATTGTTATTAATTTATATAATTTTACTTAATTACTAACAACCCCACTTAATTTTGTAATTATCAATCATAAATGATGTGCCTACCCAATTTACACATCAATACACATGTACCCTGCATAGCCTTTTCCTTTTTCATTTTACTCCAATAAACCATACAGACCTCCACCATTCTACAAACTAACATACAAAAAACAAAACAAATCTTACAAGCATCAAAACATATGATCATACATGATAGACGTACATAATCAACACACCCATCACCATCTACGTAAATACCATGGCTGTATACAATCATCACAAACATCATCATCATCATACTATCTCGAATACATTGCATCAAAAAATTATCTGATACAAAAAACAAAATCAACAAACAAAACAAAATGATGTTATTCAATTTAAAAAAACCCAAATGCAAATGTGCAAACATAAGTCAACAAATTATTAATGATAAACAAAACCATCAGTACACTAACAAATATTCTAACTACAATTGGATTTCTCACGCGCAATTCTTACTTTGCAAGTCCTCCAATTATGATTCACATATAAGTTGCATCCTGTGCACTTTCGTGAACCACTTTTTGAAGATGCAGCTGCCCTTTCCGCTGCACTAACCATCTGTTTCTTAGTCCCACTCCCTTTGTTATGTATCACTGGTGAGATATTAACTTCAATTTGTTCTGGAATACTAACCCCAAATAGCCTAAACACAACTTCATCACTATCATCAAAAGCAATAGTATTAACCGGATCTTGCTCAAACACCCTCCTCATCGCACGTGTTGTCTTCACAAAATCTTTTAATTTTTCCTTATCATTCTGAAGACGCTCCAGACAGTACTCCATGTTACTATATGCTTCGGTTAACAATTTAAAAGTTTCATCTTCCATTTCAGCAAGCCCATTCTTACTGACCCACAAATGGCTAGAAATAATATCCCTTCTCCACCTCCGTAGAATATATTGCTCGGGTATCTCCTCAATGTGATTATTCTTCAGAACTGCAAACACATGTCGACACAAAATACCCATTCGCTTGAAGAGTTCGCATGTATAATTTATTTCCTTTTCTGGCAACTTCAGTTCCACCTACATCAAAATTTTAATTCATACTTTAGACACATTTTTTTAAAAAACATATTTATTTGTTTAGATTCGTATAAACATTACTGATGCTTTTACAATCATTTGAATTTTAGGAACTAACCTTACACTTTGTTTGAAGGGTCCAGTTAATGGTTTGGTCTAGGCTTTCATTGTATTAGTTCAGTATGAGTCGTTAATGCATTTTTTGGGTTGTTTATGTGTTTACGGTCAGGAAGTGTGTTTACGGCCGTAAACACGTTTACGGCCGTAAACCCAGTTTGCGGTCCAGTCTTGTATATATAGTAGAGGTGTAGGTCTATGTGTCGGTTGTTGATGCCATAGTGTTTATAGATCATTCCATCGAGTTGTACCTGACGTTTTTCTGAATACAAACATGTGCAAGCTCGATTTCTTTTCTTCTTCTTCTTCTATTGTGATTGTTTGTTGCTTGATCATTGGTAAAGATCCTTTTCGGGACCTTACAATTGGTATCAGAGCAAGAACCGGTGTCAAAGCTTCATTCAATCGAGATTTGGGCTGCTTAACTTGACATTCTTATCATTTGAGATTGGTTTTAGTGTTTTCGTGGTTAAAGGAACTGAATCTACTGCAAAAAACCATGTTTTTGAAGACCTTCTGGGAGTTTACTGCCAACCGTAAACCATGTTTACGGTTGTAAACTCAAGAACTTGAACAACCGTAAACTGTGAATCTTCAACAACCGTAAACTAAGCTTCAATAACCGTAAACGCTTAAACCGTAAACATACAAACCGTAAACACATCAACCGTAAACCTAGTTTACGGTCGTAAACACCTCAACCGTAAACCCAGTTTACGGTCGTAAACAGCTCAACCGTAAACCAAGTTTACGGTCGTAAACTCTTCAACCGTAAACACAGTTTACGGTTGTAATCTTATCATCATCAACCGTAAACTCTTTTGTGACTTTAATTTGCTTTAATTTCAAATGGAATCTCAAAGTCAAAATCATTTTCATGAACTTGATACTGTCATGGGCACTACTACGCGTATTCCAAGATTAATGTCTGCTGATGGTTTTCCTGAGTGGAAGTACAGAATTGAAAAATATATTAAAATGAAGGATTTCAAAGTCTGGAGAAGCATTCTTAGAGGCCCTGTTAGAATCACTATGACAGTTGGAGGCCAAGTGATTGACAAGACTGTTGAAAACTACACAGATGAGGAATTTGAGAAAGTTGAAGAGCAGGAAAGGGCTTTAGCCACTCTAACCATAGCATTATCTCCTGATATTGCTCAAGGTTTCCAAGAGTATACTTCAGCTAAGGATTTGTGGGAAGCCCTAATTGAGGTATATGAGGGCAATGAAGATATGAAGGAGAGTCGCCAGGACATGTTGAGACAAAAGTTCAACATGTTCAACTACATTCCAGGAGAGACTCTTGAGGCTCAGCTGCAGCGGTTCACAACTCTCACCACTGACATGAACATATCTGGGAAGTGATATTATCAAGTGATAACAGGCAATCTGAGTCTGCGTAATGTACCCAAAATTGAATTGTCTATGCTCTGGGTTTGATGCGTTGGTAGGCACGAAAGATTCTAAATGGACATGCCTAGGCAGAGTTGAACTTAAGGAATTCATAGACTTGACAAATATTGACCTAGTTAGATCCGTTTAGCCTGACAATACGACGCTTGGATAGGTTGAGCAGGGAGATATATATGGGAATATACTGGTCACATTAAAGAACCTGTACTTGGAACCGTGGATTAACTTTTCCTCGATGTGCGGATTTTGTCCTTAATTCCGGTATTGATGGGGTGACTGGTGAATTCCGATAAATTAGGTCTGTAGAAAATTGTTTTCTCTCTATCTGTATGTTAGTCATATGTTGCTTCCTTTGCGTGATCGAGAGATCCGACCTGGACTGTAACATATGCAGCTCTATTTCTCTGCATCCTCTATCTATGCAATTCTTTCTATCTGTTAGCCATATACTGTCTCCTTTGTGTGACTCACAATCCGACCTGGTACACAGTATATGCATCATTCTTTTTCTCAATCCCTCTAAAATTTCAGTTAGTCATACGTTTCACTCTCTGCGTGATTGGAAGAGATCCGACCTGGGTGTATAGCATATGCATTCTAAATCTATCTTCTCTCTCAATAATTGTCTGCTCACCCGATGTAAGGAGTATTCTGGAAGTCCTTGATTACTGGAGCATATCAGGAAGTGGGAACCATGTTCTAGTACATTTAAAATTGAACACTTACAGATTGTCTATAGATCTCGCTGCTCAATTTAGGTGGACAACAATATCCCTGGTCGTCGTCAGCTGAATGGTCCTTAAGAAATATTATCTAGGAACTTAGGATCACTCTGTCTTGTAACTAATGGTTTGTCCTAATTCTGTCACAATTTTTCGTGTTTAAGTGGACCACAATATCGGCGATCGACCAGACAAAGACGTGAAGATAAAAGGTACCGACAAGTGGATTAAGGATGTCTAACAACTTTGATCCCAGTATCACAAGATAATTTTCAGTGAATTTTGAGATAAATTTTGTCTGTGTTTATTCTTATTTTATTTTTATTTTTATTTTTATTTTTATTTTATTTTATTTTTATAATTGTCAAAATTTTAATTTTTAAATCTTTTAATTCTTAAATTTTAGAAATTAGTTTATTTTATTTTTAGTTTAATTTTAATTTTACTTTTAATTTTAATATCCTCAAAAGGTTTTATGTTTGAAAATTTAATCGGGATTTGGACTGTGCCTTACACTGCGTGGGAGACAGGTAAAAGTCAAGGGAGGTATAAAAGGAGGAGTTTACTGCTGTAAACCCTTTCCACCTCCCATTTCTCCCTTTACAGCCGCAAACTCTCTCTACTCTCTCTCATCCTCGAAAAATTTTTGTGAGATTCTGCAAAATCAGTTTGTCCACATCGAAGGTATGTTAAAACCGACTGAGGATATGTGTTTTGTTCATCGATTCGACTAAAACTGGAGGATTAATCTAGGTTTTACTGATCGTCGGCGTTTACGGTTTGGGGAGGGTTTACGGTTTGAGCTTACGACCGTAAACAGTCTGGGATTACGGTCTGGATGGTTACGACCATAAACTCCTTTTTGAGTTTACGACCGTAAACTCAGTTTACGGTCAGGTGACCACTGCAATGGGTTTACGGCCGTAAACCCAGTTTGGACCGTAAACTCAAGTTTGACCAATATTGACCGTAAACTCAATCTGTACCGTAAACTCAATTTTGACCATGTTTGACCGTAAACTCAAATTTTTGATCAAAATATTTTTAAGGCCAAAATAAAATTGATTAATTAAGAAAACTTAAGGATTTAATTGTTTAAATACTTTGTTTTCTTACTTGGCCTGGTTTAGTGCAGATCAATGGCAAGTCTTAAGTTTGCTGACATGCATAACCTGGCAATTGTGTTGGATAACCCTCCTACTGCTCATGGAGATTTCAGGTCAATGATATACAGACTGAGAGAATGCTGTCTGGCCTTTGCCATCACTGTGAATCCAGTCATCTATCAGAAAAATGTGAAGGAGTTCTGGCAGACTGCTAAGATGAAATCAGACAAATGAGCAGTTTCCATTGAGGCTATTGTGAAAGGATGCAAGATCAAGATCACTGAGCAGTTCATCAGAGAAACATTGTTGATCAATGATCAACCCGATTTTCCTACTGAAATTGGGATTGATGATGTACAAAAGATTCTCAAGAAGATGGGGTATGAAGGCATCTACCCTCCCACGGTGAAAAAGCTTCTACCACCCTACTGGAGATTCTTGGCACATGTGTTCGTGAGCTGTATCTCGGGCAGGAGATCAGGTGCTGATGAAATCTCGCTCAGGAACACAGGGGCAATTGTTTCACTGGCTGCTGGCATCAAATTCAACTTCTCAAAGTTCATATTGGATGAGTTCTTGGTAAACATCAACGCTATAAGCCGGGAGACCAGAGATGCATTCTTGTTGTACCCTAGGTTTATTCAGATGTTTATTGACGCTCAATTTCCTGAGATGGTCAAAGAAGGAGACAAGCTGGATATAAAGTCACTAGGCCCACACATGATTGGTCTCATTAACCAGAATCGAAAGGGCAAAGTCGTCTTCCAAGGATTACATCCTCTTGTGAAATTCGGAAAATTTGCTGAGATAAATGAATCTTCCGAATCTCATGGAATGTCTGACAAGGTGTCATCTGAGCCTACCTCCTCCGAGAGAGTCATTTTGGAAGATGATGTTATCACTGTGTCCGATCGTGCTGAAGAAGAAGAAACTCCTGCTATTCATGCTCAAGTAGCTGAAGAACATGAGCTGACATCTGTTCACATTCAAAGTAATTATGATGAGGAGTCTCCAAGGGGTAGAACAGAATCCGAGTTGTATGAAGACCTTGATCTTACCGGTTTCAATGACGATGAGATCCCTATCAACTTCGGTAGTAATGAAGATTTCATGACCGGTGTAAACCTCAACACGCTGCTTGACAATATCAATGAAGTTGCTCATCCAGCAACGGAGATAAGGGAAAATGAAGACGTTCTCGAAGCCACGCCTCCTCCTACCAATCCAACGGTGGAAATAGCAATTCATATGGTGACAGTGTCAGGGATTCCTCCCCTTGATGTTGTTTTACCTACATCTGAGCCATTGGAAAGTGATCACCCAACTACACAAGCCTCTCAACCTCCAACAAAAAGACGAAGCCTTGACCCTAGACAGGGAATTCCTGATTCGGGTGTACCTCAAAGTTTTACAACTCCACCAACAACAACTCCTGTTATCGTTTCATCTGAACCTGTCAGTGAAGGTCCTAGTACCTTCTTTGAAGCTGGTGGCTCTTCTTTCCCCACAGATTTCTCTCCTCCTAGGCCAGAGCATGATGCTGCTTCTTTGAGGCTAGCAAGGCATTTGGCCGAAAAACAATTCACAACGCCTCCCTCACGTGGCAAAGGAATTTCTATTGGGGGTGGCAGCTCAGGAGAAGAGAATCCTTCAATACTTGGACTTCAGAAGGAGATTGATGCTCTGAATCAGAAAAATATTGATTTGGATCAGAAAAATATAGAGTTGGATATCAAGGTTGCGGACCTGCAGACAGAAAAGTCGCCGAACTTATGGAAGATAAAGCTCTGAAGTCGAAGCAAATTACTGATCTTCAGACGCATTTCGGCTTGTTGACCGCCAGCTACTACGATCTTAAGAAGAAGCTGGAAGAAGATTTTGGCGATAAATTCAAGTCATCTGTTGATGAGCCAAAGATCTATCTTCCTGATCAAGATACTCTCATAGTTCCACAACCTACTAGGACGACCACCGAGGTTAACCGTTTTGAAAAGGAACCGGCTCAGGCTCCGAGTATAATGGCATTGAAACGCGCTAAGTTGGCCAAGTCAGCTGAAAAGGGTCAATTTCTATTCAAAAGGAGCGCAGATCATCATGCCCCTTGGGATCAACCAAAGATCACATTTACGGAGATGGGAGAACATCATTTCAGAGACGTTTATGGTGACAGGTCAGGAATCGTTTCGTGGGGATTCCATGACACCATGAATATGTGGATGGTTAGAAGAAAGAGCGGCAATACTGAAATGTACAAAGATGCTCACGATTTTCATTCTTTTACTAAGGTCGATCTTATTGAGCTGTCAAATGCTCCCTTCTCAAATCCATCAAACAATCCCAGGGCGACTCAGTTCAAAACATTTTTAGAAGATCAAGTGGCCAAGGGCTTCCCTTCAATGAAGACTGTCGAGTCAATCGTCAAGATTTACCCTAGCGTCATTGATCCCAAAACAAGTCAGCCACTTCGGTCAGTGATGTGGCCCGCTACTGCTCAAGTTAAGCAGATTCCCGTCCTTCAAAATTATCCAGATGGTTCTCTCGCATCCATGCAATATTGGGTGTTTAATGAATCCACAGCTGCTGTTGTCATCAAGCTTAAAGAAGATTGTATCCTCTTGTATGACAAGAGGGATTTGCTTCAATTTGGTAAGTGGGACATACATCAGCTCTCCATTCATCAGATCAAGGTGGCCGAAGACATTTTTGAGCCCGTTGCAAAGGAGTACACTTCGATGGTTGCTGAGATTATCGAGAAAGAGATGTGGAACGGAGCCATGGGAAAATCTGATGTGCTGGTGGTCGACAAAAGCTGAGTCCAAGCTAGCACCAAACCAAGGGGGAGATTGAAGGGTCCAGTTAATGGTTTGGTCTAGGCTTTCATTGTATTAGTTCAGTATGAGTCATTAATGCATTTTTTGGGTTGTTTATGTGTTTACGGCCAGGAAGTGTGTTTACGGCCGTAAACCCAGTTTGCGGTCCAGTCTTGTATATATAGTGGAGGTGTAGGTCTATGTGTGGGTTGTTGATGCCATAGTGTTTACAGATCATTCCATCGAGTTGTACCTGACGTTTTTCTGAATACAAACGTGTGCAAGCTCGATTTCTTTTCTTCTTCTTCTTCTATTGTGATTGTTTGTTGCTTGATCATTGGTAAAGATCCTTTTCGGGACCTTACATTGTTTTCACTTGTCTTCTTTTGTCCAAATGTGTAATCATTACTACCTGCCACCCGTTCATATTTTCTACACTATCAATTGAACAATTCCATGCTCCTTTGTATATCTCCTTTCGAACTTCTGCAAAAACTGTATTTGTATACACTTTCGCTGCATGTTGCTCTAATCCTGTGCCCATCCCAAATTTATGCCTGGTTCTCTTAGTTTCATTATCAAGACGACGTTGTGTGTTACGTTGTTTTCCAATTGCCGTGTCATAGTTCACCATGAAATACAAAAGGAAATTCCCATGATGCGAGTACTTATTAAAGAATGAATTCGCACTTTCAGACCTGGAAGTTGTTTTCATCAGTCCATGCATTGGCATGTCCTTAAAATAAGTGGGTATCCATGAAGTCCTCCTACGATACATGTTTTTAAACCATCGTTTATCTTGCAGATTGTGATTCTTCATCAATGACTTCCACGATGTTTCAAACTCAATGGGATCCATATATATATATTCCATACTAGTTTGTTGAAGCGTTTTCTGAAATCCGTGTTTTTCAAAACATCCCCGCTAACCTGATACACATCCATTTTAAACTTCAAATTACACATATATTTTAACAAATAAATGTACTTTCCTCAACAAAATTCAAATCTCATTACATATTCACCTGATGTAATTCAATTACCCATACAACATACCTTCGCCTGTAGTTTTTTCGTTATATGCCATAAGCATAGTCTATGCTTGGCGTTTGGGAATACAGCCTCAACTGCCTGCAGAATCGCTGGATCCTGGTCTGTTAACACCAATGTTGGTTCTTTTCCATGAGCTTTTAAAAAAGCTTCAAGCAACCAACAATAAGACTCTATTTTCTCATTACTAAGTAGGCCAGCACCAACAGCACCAACAGTAACAGATCTTTTGTGATTATCAATAGCTGTAAAAGGGACAAATACCATTCCATACCTAAATAATAATATTTGTCATCATTAATGACATTGTACAAACAAATTAATCCAGAATACACATCAACCCAAATAAAACGCAGCATAACACTTACTTATTTGTTCGAAAGGTAGCGTCAAAAGATATCACATCTCCAAACTCCTTGTAGAATACCTTATCTGTTTCATCAGCCCATAACATAGCATTTAACACGCTATCGACACATTTATACTCAAAAGAATAATCTGGATAAAATGTTTTCCTCTCATTCATTTTATTCACTACCAATTGCGCATCCTTGTTGTCTATAATGTTACCCAATTGTTTCCTAAAATTTTTGTAATCACTCTCTTCCGGACCAACACACTCATATCCACCTTTTAACGCAGCACGAAGTTTATACGCCTTTGTTGCACCCACGTTTGCTGTTGCTGCGCGTATAATAAACTCCTTGTCTTCATAATTTAATTTCCTAGCTTTTTTTGAATGTCTGCGCTCTTCTGTGGTATAAAGAGGGTGGTTGTGCAGCTCTTGAAACTCTCTAATTTGAAACTCATTTGTTCCAACACTAACACGTTCAAACTTTATCAATGCTCTACAATCCGTTACAATAAAGTTTGAATTCCTATGTTTCCTTCCACCATTATTTGTATCCATTGTATCCACGCTTCTATCTGGTATTTTCCCAGCGCGATTGCAAACAACATACTTTATCTTTATTGATTTGTCATGCCGAAACCTTGTAGTTGTGTTCAACCGAACATCAAACCCAGCATGTTCTGCATATTTTCTATACATATTGATTGCATCTGTTAGTGATTCGAATGTAACCTCATCATCAGGCATAAATTCTTTCGCGACACTAGGTTTCCACAGCTTATTAGATCCACCAGGTGAATATAGAATGCTATGGTTGACACTTTCATTTTCATCAGATTCCGTACCTGATCCAAACAGTTCCAACCAACTTATATTTATAAAAAATAATACTTTTTTTAAACACTAACCAGATTTCATTACCATCACAATCATCAAGACTTTGACCTGATTCATTGTCACTCTCATTTTCATCATATGTATCTTCGTAGCCACCTTCAACTTCTTGTGTAGCGTTATCTGTTCCACCACAACAAAATATATCAAATATTGACCTTATAACACTACCATTTTGTTATATTATTTATTAAACATTAACAACCACTGTTGAATATCAAATTCCATGACATAAAAAATTTGTGTTGCATAATAAATAGCTGCAAACATTAATGATGGTCTCAACATATACTCTTCAATGATTTCAATACAAGTACGAATACACAACAAATGGAATTCAAATCAATTAAATTGTATATTGAAACACTAACACTTATAGATACCCCAGTACAATCACAAATACGTTAAATCATTTGTGACTGCAACCATATTCAACAATGTTTCAACATAATCCCACATAATTCCATAAACAACAATTGTGTTCAATGATGATTGAAACAATAACATTTATAAATACCCCATCTTCCATCCCAAATACACTAAATCATTTATGATTTCACAGCTATTCATAACTGTTTCAACCTAAAACCACATACTCCCTTAAAATAAGCAATGATTCACATATAACCACGAATATGCAACTTAATGGAATAAAAAGTCTAAAATTGAAATAAACATAACTGTTTTGCCTGATAAACAAGACTATGCAACATATTTGAATAGGATTGTACCCACAAATGATTTAATGTAGTTGTGATGGAAAAGGGGTATCTACAAATGATGTTGTTTCATTCATGATTGAAAATAGTTGATTTGATTTGAACTCAATTTGTGTATATTTGAGGTTGCATTGAGATCAATGAATAATTCATTTTTGATTACAACTACATTAAATCATTTGTGACTACAACAACATTTATAGATACCCACAATTCCATAACAACTATATTAAATCATTAGTGATTACACACCTATTGAAATATGTTTCAACGTAAAACAACATAATTCCATAACTCAAGCAATGATTCATATATAATCAAGATTACACAAATTAATGGAATAACAAGTATATACTTGTCACTGGTAAATTATATATGTACGTACAACACCATATAATCATCATTGAATAAGGGTCTAAGTGTTAATCAACCTATTCAGCTATGATTATCATATTACAGCATCTAATTCCCATACAACATCTAACTCAATCGATACTGCTTTTACTGGTACTATACATATACTTCACATCTGTATAATTCATCAGCATAAATCAATTCCATCGAATTGAACAGCTCTATTTCGTTTTAGCAGAAACTAACAGTCATTTTTCGTTTCACAATATGATTACATTCAAATACTAATTTCTGAAATCAAGCACATGTACCTTCACCTTCATCAACAATATCGATCAGTGAATTGAAGTAACTTTCATAGCCATAACAATCCCCACATCCGGTGTGCTTCATCGCAGCCGAATTCAATCAACGAATCGTAATTTGATTCCAGATGACGACAACAGTATTGATGTAATATTTTGCAGATTTTGATTACACGTTTGATGCCGGCATTATGGATTGCAGCAATAACGAATATGGTTTCAATAACTTTTATCCAATTAACGTTCTTCCTTCCTTCTGGCTTCAATCATGGAAAAAGTCTGTTACGTGTTATTAAATACGTTTATGTTATGTTTATGTTGCCTAATTACTGTTCACGTAAGTATACACTTTCCTATTTTTGACCCTTATGAAACGATTGGCCCACATTTGTTCTCGCGTTTCTTAACCTTTTAGTGTTCTCAATATAACTCATCCCTATATATATATATATATATATATATATATATATATATATATATATATATATATATATATGGGAAAAGTGTATACTCTTAAGGATTTATAAGCTTAGATACCCAAACCCACTATAATCCGTCATTTTGTTTGATATATTCATTATAATGTTCTTAAACTTCAACCCATAAGTTGATTTGCTTTCAAGATTTTCGAATTTTCTCTATTAT